TGTCGGAACACCGTGTCCCCAGTCTGGGCATAAAACAGACTTGCTCATGGTTCCTGTGTTATGATTCTAAAAGTCACCGTGACTTAAAAACCACTGCACAGGTCTTTCTGAGGTCAGATCTATCTACTTCAGTACCACTTTACCTACATCTGTGTAGGCAAGGGTGTTGCCTCGGAGGACACTAGACAGGAACGTGGCTTTTAACTGTTGATAGAACTCACACTGATTGGAGTCCCTGTCTGGGCTGCGTCTTTAGGCCGCAGAGTGTGTATTCTCCCAGCACACAGCTGCAAGAGAGTGTTGTTGTAATGACTTCCTCTTAGAAGAAACCCACAAATGTGTACCGTCTCCCTGCACTTCAGCCGTCACCAGCATGTGGTGTGAACTGAAATCCTCCCAGTCAGAAATGTGCATGCTTCTAACTCAGTTTCTGTAACCTGGTTATTGTGTTTAAATGCCTCTACACTGCAGGGCGGTGCCCCGTAGTTCCACTCACATTAGTTTATTTCTAATAGTGCATAATATATTCTTATAGAGTTCCTTCCAAACTTAATAGAACYTTGTTTTATAAAATGAATCATTTTCTCATCACTCTAAAAAGGCAGCAAGTTATTTCAGAGGAAGAATTACAAGACACATTTGACATTTATCCAATTATGCTACTTTAGCCACAGATTTGTTTTTTAAAGAAAAGATTCAATCCAGAGTTTTCACAAGTGAGGCCAGAACACTTCAGATAAATAGATGAAACATTAAATCAGCATCATGTTCAAAGTTTCTACATGAAAATATTGATAAACAAAAGCCAAGAGCTAGTTACCAGCTTACTAAAATAAATCTGTTTCGGAAGGATCAGGAAGTTACTTAAGGACAGTGACATGTGAACTAGGGACAGTTCCCATAGCTTTCCCATGAACGGGAGGCTTGCAGAATTCAGAGAGAAGTTTAGATCGAATTGAGCTTAGTGAGTTCTTTAAACACCAGGCACCACATCAGGACGTAGCACCCAGCTGTTTGTGGTCAGGTCTATCTCTTCAGCCCACAGGGAAAACCTCAGGAAATGTCTTGCTRTATTGCTAGTTTACTTTTATTCACATTCTTTACCCTTAATTTTTTAAATGCAAAATAACTTTTAGAAAAATCTTGACCGAATTTATATGACTACATACATTTCCTATTTTCTAAGTACTTCAAAGAACTAAAGTTCATGGATTTTTGGTTTTCAGTTTTTAGTAAAACACAAAAGGAAGAGGGAAGGTATGCATCTTTGGGTTCTGTGTTCAGGAAGTGAGTACCCAAGAATATACCTGCTTTCGGCCCTGGCTCGGGCCCTGTGGGCTCTGGAACAGCAAATTCCAGGACTCGTGAGTCTGCACACATTTGAACACACACAGAGCACACTGAAATGGGGTGATTTCCCCMAAAAAATATAACGGGGTTGATGGTCAACTACGTGATGCCACGGGATCTCAGCAGTCTTGTTTCAGGCCCCACTGTGTGATCATCTCTTTAACAGCAGCAGTGAAGTCTCCTCTCTTCTTCCCTGGTGGAAAGCGACATCCAAGTACGACTGCACACACCCTCGCGTGGTTTCATTTTCCATTTGTAATATAGAGCAAAAATAAAGCGGAATGTGCGCTGCTTTGCTGCACAAATACAGCATATTCTTGGAGGGAGTATTTAAATACTGGAGGAGTTGGATTTTGAAATCAGTTTTCAAAGCAACAATTTGTTATGGTTTACTCTGTAACTATTCAAAGGTGCTGTGGTTTCTACTACATGGTTGGGGACCAACAGGGTAAGGATAAGTTATGTTCCTCACAACAATCACTCCAAAATAAACACTTCAAGGTTTTAGAAATTATTTCAAGGTCAAATGAGCAAGCTGAGCGGGCTGCATGTTCTGCCTGCCGGCGGCTTGACACAGAAGGTCCAGCCACGCATCTTCTTCCTGGTGCCTAGCGGGTGGCCAGGTTCCTTACTCAACCAGCTGTCCCTGCTGGCGCAGGGCTCTCCCAGGCAAGACAGACAGGGAGACAGGGAGCAGGAAGGTTGGGGACACAGGGCTTGGTCACTGGAATCAACGGCCCCATCTGGRAGACGAAGGAAGGGAGACTGACCCCCCTCCATCGGCTCCTGTGCTGTGGTCCAGGCACACTACCCCATCCCCAGCGACCACCCAGCACACCCAGATGGAAAAGACCTTTCTTCTAATAAGGGTGGCAACAAGACTATTGTGCTTTTTTTTTTTTTTTTTAAATTCTGCTCTCTGAGTAGGCTGAATAGCACCAACCTCGACAGCAATAAAGCCACTCTGTGTTCACTCCAGTTCTGTCTCTCTCCTTCATCTCAAACAATTAGTTAAAGTCCTAAAACACATTTTCCCTTCCTATGCAGGGTCTGGTGGAAGAATTCAAGTGAGAAAACTGAGGTCTGAACTGCCAGGCTCAGGATGCCACTGACGACGTCTCTCCACGGTCATCTGAAGACTGACCCACAGCTCGGGTTCTGATGCAGACCCTGGCAGGGTCTGGGCAAGCTGGTGATGGGGTCTTTCCTCTTTAACATTCATGCTTCAGCACAGAGTGCTAACAGGACCCAGGGCAAACAGCCACGGGTGGGGGCTTCCCTCCTTCATCGGAGGGTATTTTTCAATTATATATTTTGTTACGTCTTCAGAGATAAAAGCTGTAATCTGCAAGTGATTAAAAGATGTTTTATATTCGTGGTTTCATTTCTGCTGAAACGAATGCGTAATTTAAACCACACATAATTCATAGCAATTTAGGCCCATTACAGAGCTATAGCTTCTTTTTTATGATAGTTACTAATTAAAACAGAGCGTTGTGCCACGCTGAGCCTCAGCCTTTGACGTACAGGTTTAATGAATAAAACATCCTGACACAAACATGAAAACAATAACGGGACAAGGCTGCAAGCTGTTATGCTTCAGTGTGTGGAAAAGATTAAGGACGTTCACGGAGCTCGGCACTGTGCAGAGAAGGAGCCCGGAATGTCTTTCTTTAAAGCAAGAAGCAAGAGGTTTTTGAGAGAAATTTGAAATAGTACTAATCTCTAACTTCTGGGCCCCTCATTCCCAGTTGTCCCCCTCCCCCAACTAGGAATTCAAACTCATAAGCATCACTTTTAGAGAACAATGATGGGATATTTTAATGTAATCCTGAATATAGGTTTAGATTGAAAATGGGAATTGGGACCATAATTAATTATGTTGAGAATTTTTTTTTAAACTTTAAGAAGGCAGAGGAAGGTAAATGACATTTCATAAGACTGCAACCTTCTAAAAGTTCACGGATTGAAACTTTGTAAATGACAGTATCTTTGGGGGTTTGATGAATCCCATATGCAGAGTGAGTGTGAGGAATTAATCCCGTTTGGTGTTTTCACTTTCTGAAACCACGGTCATAAGAGACTGACATAAAATCAAACCAAGTGTAAACACAGTCCTGAGCTAGGGTGATGGCCTTATTATCGCTCTTAATAAACATAATTAATAATAATAAATACCGGTCGCCCTCAGCACCCTGCTGCACACATCGCGCCCCTCCCATCCATCCATCACTTCCTTCAGGATAATAAAACAATTCGACCCACCAAGTCCTCGGCTCCGCTCCCCCGGGAGAGATGTTTTATCTACCTCTAGGAGCCAGGGAGGACTTCTCTTGTTGGAAGGGGGCGGAGAAGAGCGGGTCTTATTTACTTCCATTGACGACTCCCCTGGTTCTCACGGCGCCCCGGACCAGGGAGGAGGAGGAGGGAGGAGGAGGTGGGAGATTCCCTCCTCCCCAAAGAAAAAGGGTTCAGCAAGCGAGGCCAGGAGGAGGGCGGGGAGAGTGGGCAGTGTTTGGTGAGAGCAGCCAGACAAATGAAAAAATAAATTCTCCATTGTGATCCAGTGGGGCCGAAAGATGAGGAGTAAACAGCTTTACCAGCCCAAGTCGCTAAAAAGAACTCCAAGAAACAAAACCAGACATTTGCTCAGGTTCATTTCCCGCTCGAGGTCTAGCTTCCTGGGAGCCGGACAGCCCGGAGCAGGAGATGGACAGCGCCCCGAAGGGGGCGGGAGGGGAACGCGACCCGGGCGCGCGCCAGCCCAGCGCCCCGCGGAGGTGCCCGAGGACTCCCTGGTCTCGGCGGCCGGGCGCAGCCGCCGCGGGACCCCGAGGGGCTCTCGCCTGGGTCTGGGCGGCGTGCAGACAACTCGCACCCCGAATCCCGCAGTTGCSAAGTACCCTCAAAGCAGCGGGAATCCGAAGCCACGCATTCCGGCTGGGTCCGCGGCGAAGCTCAGCACCGAGAAAAGCAGGCGCAGGCCGGGGCGAACCCCTCTCGCGCACAGACGGGGCGAGGGGCGACGCCGGTGGCCCGGCGGGCGGGCGTCCCCTCCGTGGCGCTCTGCTCTGAGTCACAGGACAGCCAACCCCGGCCGCCCCGCTCGCCAGCCACGCAGAGGACCAACGCCGAGCCGAGCGGGGTCCCTGGGAAGGCCGAGCGGGACGCCTGGCGCTGCGGGACCCTGCGCTCCTCGCCCCCCGCGCGGGCGCCCCCAGACCCGGGTCCTGCTGACTTTCTCTGGCGGCAGACAACTGGCGTGAGTCCTGCGAGGGAGGCGACAGCCTGCCCCGCAGGAGGCAGAGCGTCCAGGCCGAGCCGGGTGGAGGCTCTGCGGCTTCCCCGACTCCACCGCACCGTACGCGGCTCCCAGAGCCCCGGGCCGCGCGCTCTCCCTCCACCTCCTGACCCCACGGAGCCGCCCCGCCACGAAACCAGAAGAACCGAGTCCGACCTGCCGCACGCCCCTCGTGCCCGCTACCCTTCTGGGTCAGGCGTCCCCGGGACCTCGCTGGGCCCTTCCTGGCTTGGGGCGCGCGCCTCCACCTCGGACCCCGGCTGAGCCCCGGGTGTGAACGCCCTTGTGCCCGTACTGGGGTGGCGGGCTAAGGYGTGCGGAGTCGGGGTTGCGCTCCTCTCGCACTTACCTGAAAGAAGTCGGTTTGCTTTTCCAGTGGGGAAGAGAAAAGGTCCCACCCTGAGGTGCGGCTGGCGGAACGGTCCACGTCCCGGCTCTGGCCAAGATGCCCAGCGCCTTACCCAGGAACCGAGGGGACCGGAGGGCAGGGCGGAAGCCGAAGAGAGGAATCAGCCGGCCGCAGTGTCCCAACTTTGCGGCCAGCGCCGCTAACTTCAAACGCTGGCGAAAAGCAAGCGGCGTGCGGCCGCCGAAGTTGCMGCGAAGTGGAGCGGGAGCGGCGCGGGCCGGGGACCGGGCAGAGCCGGGAAGCGGCCAAAGGGCGCCTAGCGTGCGGGCCGGGTGCGGGAGGATGCCGCGGCGCCGGCGGGTCTGCGGGCGGCCGCTGGTCCTGGGCGCCCGGCGAGGGGAAGAACGCGGCCGGTGCCCGGCTCCGCGCACCGCTCTCTGGGGCTCGAGCGGGGATTGTGTGTGCACTCCGGAGTGTCACTGCTCAAGCCAGAGCCTCCCCGCCTCCCGCCCCGCTGCCCGCCCGCCCCCTCCCTGCTCTGCCCGCCGCCCCCCCTCCATCCCCCTCTCCCTCCCTCCCGCTGCGCGCCAGCGTGCGCGCGCGCGC